GAGATCACAGTGCTCTTTCCTCATTTTATTGGCAAAATCAAGTATTTTTCCTTGGAGATTGTCATTGCCAGAGAAATGTGACATGCTGATTTTAGGAAGCTTTAATTTATTACCTGGCAATTTTTCTAAATTGTTTTTTTGGACTAATAATTAAATCATATCTTCATTTCTTAAGGCACATAGAACAAGTTGTTACTTTAGTAATATTTTGTGTGTCTTCAGGAATGCAAAATAGGAGGAGATGGACTTAAGCCACAACAGAAGGAATTTGAGTTAAAGGCAAAGAAGAATGTCCCCATTGTTGTCATAGGTACCATCAAAAGCTTGTTTAGCCTGCTTCCCCAAAAAATGAAAGACCTATCTGTCTGGCAGATTTAGCATAGCTCTGTGCAGAAGCATGGTATTGGAGTCCCTGGACACAGTTTTATACATGGGCGAATCTGCTCATCCACCATGCTTCAGTCGTGAATGAGTCAGCAGCACAGCTGCAGATTGAGTGGGCAGAAGGGCATCTAAATTTAGTCATTATTCACTTGAGAAGGTGTTCAGGGACCATTCGTCTCTCATCCGTGCCTTAGTCATATTCCTTCTTCTGGAGGCAAAAAAAAAAGAGAGAGAGAGAAAGAGAAGGAGCTTGGGAGAACAGTCACTTCAAGATATTTCATCAGAGTGAGTGACCCACAACTGCTGTTTGCTCTCACCTGCAGGGATGATTCTCTTCCAGCTTAACCATGGTACATACTATTTTATTCATACAGTTCCTGAATTTAGGAACCCACAGCATTCTGAACATTAGAGAAGAATTTTCTGAAGTTGGGACTGAAAAGCAAGCTACAAAATCTTGCTAGTTCAAAGACATTTTTTTTTTTTTTTTGAGACAGAGTCTCACTGTGTTGCCTGGGGTAGAGTGCCGTGGCATCATCCTAGATTAAAACAAGTTGAATGAGTGGTTCTCTAGCCACTTACGTAGGCACAACTCTGGCTCAAAGCAACAGTTTGTTTTTTTTTTTTTTCCTTCAAAGACATTTTTAATCAAATTGCTTTCCTCCCATAAGGTAGTAGGGGTGGAAGAGGGCTGTGATGAGTGAGAAATAAGTACATTTTGTGGGTCCCCCCACACCCCCGCCCGGGGAAGTTGCTATTTGTTCAACTATTGGCTTAAAACAACAATGCCAGGGAATATTCCAAAGGGCTGATGTCCTTTAATCTTCACAAAACCCGATGAGGTAGGTGGTATTCCCAATGCTATAGATGAGTACATACTCTGGTACTTAGGTTAGATACCCCACTCAAAGGTATATGCATTGACAGCGCTGGTATGCAAACTCTGGTCTGTCTGACTCCAAGCCACACGTAGCTGTACAAGGAAACTACACTAGGCATATCATAATTAAACTGTTAAAAACCAAAGATAAAGAAGAATGTCTTGGCCAGGCCCGGTGGCTCTCGTCTGTAATCCTAGCACTTTGGGAGGCCAAGGCTGGAGGACTGCTTGAGGCCAGGAGTTCAAGACCAGCCTGAGTAAGAGCGAGAACCCCATCTCTACAAAAGTAAAAAAATTAGCCAGGCATGGCAGTCGGTGCCTGTCATCCCAACTACTTAGGAGACTGAGGTGGGAGGATCGCTTGAGTCCAGGAATTTGGGACCAGCCTGGGAAACATAGCAAGACCCCATCTCAAAAAAAAAAAAAAATTTTGCATCGAGGATTTGAGGTTTATAGACACAATATCATAAAATTTAAAAGGAAAAGAAGTAGTGATGGGGTAAGGGAGATTAAGGAAATGAGGAGTGGGGAGGGAGATATAAGAGAGAAGGAAAGAGAAAAGATAAGTTTTCTCCCATTTGATACCTGGACTAGCTGGGCTTATTTTAGG